TGTAATTTTTGCTGGTTGTTATTCATAACCCCAAAATATTTTATACAACCTGTACTGGGGCCACGCAGTAGCGCAGTTGGCTGAGACATTATGCTACAAGCCGGAAGATCGCGGGATCGAGTCCCGATGAGTTGGATTTTTTTCAATTGACTTAATCCTTCGAGCCGCATTATGGCCCTGGAGTCGACTCAGCCTTTAACAGAAATGAGTACCAGGAATGTTTTTGGGGGTATAGGTACCAGGATGATTCCTGGTACTCATTCCTATTAAAGGCTGAGTCGACCTTAGGACCATAGTGCGGCTGGAAGGGTTAGGTAAATTGAAAGAAATCAACCTCATCGGGGGATTAACGAAAAATAACGAGGAAGTGGAAACAGACGTTTCGGTTACAACTATTACAGACATTCGAAGACAAAGATCGTTGTTATGAAACAGTCTGCAAGAGATGCGATACCAGTTTCTCCCTAATACTCTGTCGCGACTTCACGGCGGAAATTACTTGCTCCCTCTGATAGCTTTGAGTGACGAAATATGCTTATTTTTTAAGGCACAGTGTTCTCACCTGTTACTCTCTTATTGTTAGGGAATTTCGTTTTGCAACTGAATGTACGTATGCATTACACGTTATAATCACTGAGTGTGGGTGCAAGCACAGCCACCATCATTAAGTGCTGTTACAGCATCACAGTATATAAGAGGCGGTGACGCCTTTAATATGGTCGGTGCTTAACAACCAACCGGGTTACCAGCTAAGCGCAAAACTTCCGTGTCATAGCATACTCTCTGCGGTGATGCCAAATTGCATTATAGTACGACGTGTTCCATATATAAACATCGTAGTAATGATATTCAGTTTTTACTAATTGTGATACAAAGACATTATGTACAATTTTCATACAAAGAGGACATACACATGCTTCATTGGATTTGTTTACAGCCCATATATTTTTACTTAAACTGTTCGACTGGATGAAGTGAAGGGAGGCTTGAGAAAACTGCACAGTGAGGAGCTTCATAACTTGTATGCTTCTCCAAGTATATGTAGAATGATCAAGTGCGATGTGGAAAGCAAGTGGAAAAACTACCACATTATAACTTTTATTGGATAGTCTCTTTCCAAAAACAGAGTTACCATGTATGCGAGATGCTTTCTCTGGAGACAAAATAAACTGGAGGGGCGGATAGAAGTGACCAGAAGACGAGGAAGAAGACGTAAGAAGATGCTGGATGACTTTGGGGACAGAAGAGGATATTTTTATTTGAAGGAGAAAGCTGGACATCGCATCAAGTGGAGGAACTCTTTTTGAAGAGGATGTTTACCTGTCGTCTGGCAGATTACTGATGAATGAATGATCAAGTCAAAGAGGATGAGGTGTGCAGGGTATGTAGCACGAAGGGGAGAGAGGAGAAATGCATGTAGGATATTGGTGGGAAAGAAGGAAGGACGGAGACCACTGGGAAGACCAAGGCGTAGGTGGTAGACAATATTAAAATGAATGTTAGAGAGATAGGATAGGATGGTATGGATTGCATCGATCTGGCCCAGGATAGAGATCAGTGGAGGGCTCTTGTGAACACGGTAATGAACCTTCGGGTTCCATGAAATGGTGGGAAATTCTTGAGTAGCTGTACAATTGATAACTTCTCAAGAAAGGTTCATCTGCATAAGTGACTGTTGGACTGGATCACTAAAATTCCTGGACGACACTGATCAAAGAATGGATGCCTAGGTAATCAATGGGTTTGAGGTCGACATTCGTTACACACAATGCTAGACACACTAAACGACAACTTTGACATTGCACATAGGCATAGCACAGTTTGTTGTTTAATAAGTTTAAATTCAGAATACCATAATCGAACAAATCCTGATTTTCCACAGTTTAGGATGTGAGGTAACTGGTAACAGACCATTACAAACATAAATCATATACCAAGCAAATAAAGTGAGTAGGATATCTGATATTTAAAGGATGTATTATGCAATGACCAATCACAGTGGCCGCCCGGTCTAAGGTATGAATTGCCTTCCATCCCTCAAACGTTGGGATCGTGGTTTCGAATCCAACTCAAACTGAAACGAATGGAATATGAGGATACAGTGATTGAGTAGATGGGCCAGTGGATGAGCAAGAGAGTGAAAGATCAATATGTGGACAGGCCTGGATGGATGGTCCATGAGGTGAATGAAGGCTAAATAAATTGACGAAGTAGTGAATGATAGATTGGTGACCCTGGAGTGAACGGACGGTTAAATATTGAATGAAAGTTTTGGGGGGATGGATCAGTGCAAGAATTACCAGTATTGCTAGTATTCCCTTTTTCCATAACTGTCTGTGTCTCATGCTGAAATCTTGTCTATATCGTCTTCAGACCCAATATTTTAAGTTCCTTGAATTCTGTCTTTCATCTCGTTAAATAAATATTGCCCTAACCTCAAAACCGCAAGGTATATTTCAACTTTTTCCATGTTATTCTGACAGTTATTGGTTTTGGTCTTTGTTACACATGTTCTGACGTGCTGGATTCTCTTTGTTTGTAGAGTACAAACTGAGTAGTTTGTCAGAAAGGAATAAGGAGAGACGTGTAGTTGTTAAAGGTGTCGAAACCAGTAGTCCCATATAGGATTTGAGGTTCTCACAGCGGAAGTTGTAAATATTTCTATCTTCTGGCGTACGTCGCCGTGGAGTCCGTTGAAAGTCAATCGACGTTTCAAATGAATATGTCGCCTCAGTCTTCAGGGTAGAATACTAAACCAAGCAAGAAACCAGCTTGAAAACGTGGGAATCAATGATTTTTTTACTGCATACTTCACGTCCAGTGACTGCCTGCGTTTCCTACGAAACGTCTATTTAATTGTAACGGCATTATATCCCAGAATATAGAACATTTCAAGTATTATTATAATTATAAGGAATTTGACGTGTGGGTGAAGTGTAGGTATAGATCTAACGTTCTAGACCTCGGCACTAATGGAGGCGGAGTGGTCAGCTTCACGCCACCGCTGCTTTACCCTAGAATAAATCCCCCGGGTACCTGTTGAATAGGAGGAAAGTGGTCTCCAGAGCCGGCCTAGACCCTGTGAAATAGAGAAAATTCCCCTACCCCTTCCGGGAATTGAACCCAGGCTGTCAAGCTCGTAGCCCGTCTGTATTCCTGCTGAGCTACCCAGGTTCATGGTGACTGTTATTAAATTCAAATCGAGGTATGTTGTTCCGTACTGACTGTCAGATCACTCTCCACTCCTGCACGTGCGTTTTATTGTAAAGGTTCATGTTCGGGTGCAAGTCTTGTCACTAATAATTAATATAGTTAACCTTTTAACCACAGAACTGGCTGTAGAACGCAGACTAAGTTATAGAGTCACGATCTCATGATTGTACAATTAATTCAATTTTGGCTCGTCGCTTAACTCAGAAAAATTGTAGATCTGCGCTGTTGTAACTCCATTCAGTATTCGGGTCGCGCTCTCCCATAATTGTATTCTGTTAAAGAAATTGAAAGGCCACAAATTTCTGTAACTAAAGCCCTAATTACGGATAAGGACCCCACTTTTCTGAACCCCATTCTCTTTTCGAAAAATGACTTGTAATTTATTTTAAGACTTGCTTCATGAAAAGTACACTAATTACTGCCTAGACTATGGATGTCTGATGAACCGGGGTTCGATCCCCGCCAGGGCCAAGAGATTTTTTTCTCTTCTCCATAGGGTCCAGGCGGTCTGTGGGGTCCAGCCAATCCCCTATCCAATGTGTACCGGAGGCAGGTTTTTCGGGGGTAAAGCGGCCGGTGCATGAAGCGGACCACTCACATCCGTCTAGTGCCAAGTATAAAATTAGGAGCTATACCTCCACTCCCCAATTCATCTTCAGGGCGTAGTTATTAATTAATTTATTTCAGAGATAATTTTACATTATTTTATTTCTACAGTTTATACTGTAAGACATGCTGTATATCTTTTGTTTTATTAAATGTATATTCATATTTTTATGGGGAGTTCAGCTAGGAGCCGAGGTATAGCGGTATAGCGGCTGGCTACGGGCTGCATGACCGAGAGGTCAGAGAATATTTTTATGGGGAGTTCAGCTAGGAACCGAGGTAGCGTAGTCGGTATAGCTGCTGGCTACGGGCTGCATGACCGAGAGGTCGGAGTTCGAATCCCTGTAGTGTCAAGAATGTTCTTTTCTCCAAGTCGTCTAGACTCTGAGGTCCACCAGATTTCTTTCCCGGGGGTAAAGCGGCCGGGGCGTGAAGCTGGCCCCTCACCTCCAGCTAGTACCGAGGTCAAGAAAATGGGATCTATACATCCAAGTCCCCATACGCCTTCATGGCGTAGTGCTTAACTAGTTAAGCACAGGGACAACTTTACCTGTGTACCTCATGGGGAGCTCAGTTTGTGTTCGGTTCCCTAGTACTCAGTGTCTAATAGGGCTATGCATGATGGAAGTAAGCTGATGACGTTTAAAGTGCGGAGATTTGGCTGCGCCTTGCTTATGGAGATCGGCTCTGCCGGCAACGTTCCCTTGGAGTTAGAAAGGCGGACTATGGTGGTTTACTTTAACATGGATTCCCTCGCATTTACCTGGAGGCTTGTGAAATACAGTGAAATGTCTGTCAGAATAGCCCGTCCCTCGACCAGTTTTCCAAGCGGATTCCTGTAACTGCAGTGGCAGTGTCACTGATTAGACAAAAAATAAAGCTTTTGGTGTCTTGAAGGCTACATAAAATTGTCATTTGGACATCCCTGTTCTAAATCTGAAATGTCTACTTCTCTTCCGTTCCCTGTTTTACTCTAATTACTTCGAAAGCCACTCCCACGCCTGTCAACATCGTCCAAGTAAACTGTGGAACAGTTAGCGACAAGAATGAATAGTCAGTGTTGATCCAAGTCACAATGCGTGTGATTGTTCCCTACAGTCTGCAGTTCCAGTAAGTGGAGTGTTTGTTATTAAATATAAATGTTTTCTTTTCATTAATAAAGTTGTGATTTGTGTTAACAGGAACGGTGTACCGATGAAGTCATTACAGCTTTGGTTGGCAGTACTAGGCAACCTGCTTTTTCTTGGTGAGTAGAATTGTCTGTATTACACAGTAAGCTCTGTCGTATAATTTTGTACTAATTAGATATCTTAAAGGCATGGGTTTCTTCGCATTTCTACAGCGCTTCCTGCCAGATTAAGGTCCTCAGGATTACTCGTTGGCACGAGTAGATATGATCATTCCTGTATGCGCCCCTTTCTTGTACATTGTGCAAAAAATCTCTCCAATGAACAAATGAACCGTTGAAATTTCAGTCCTGTAATGATTTGTATATGAAGAACGCGTGAATGATTGCGACATTTCAATTCCATTGTTATGGACGTGCAGATATACGGCNACATTGTGCAAAAAATCTCTCCAATGAACAAATGAACCGTTGAAATGTCAGTCCTGTAATGATTTGTATATGAAGAACGCTTAGTGCCGTGCAGCATCATCAATCATACTGAAACGTTCAAATTTGGAAAAGCATCTTCCGAAATACAGTCTAAATGAGGGTATGAAGAGACTACATTGTNAAGCTTTCCACAGTTCTTCATACAAAGGTACCTGGAGCTCCCTCTGCATTTATCGCTATATTTAATTACACATGACGCCATGAAGACGTATTTAAGAGAGGAGGTGTAGCTCCGCCATTCTTAACCTCAGCANAAGACATTTATTAAGATAATTCTGTTGAAAATAATACTTACTCATGGAGCTGAGCCCTTCTGCAGGAGCCGCCAATTCTGCATCTACTCAAAAATTTCCAAGCATTTTATAGAACCCTAAGGTTCATTATCGTGTTCCCAAGAGCCCTCCACTGTCCCTATCTGGAGCCAGATCAATCCAATCAGTACCATCCCATCCTATCTCTCTAAGATCCATAATCATAATTAATATATAATTATATTAATAATTATTATTCAAAATAATTGCTTTGTTAATTATTGAAGAAAAGGAAGCTCCTTTGTGACTGTATGTAAATGTACTCTGATATTGGATGAGTCTAATTACATTTATAGTTTACTTGAATCTCTTTTACATGCAGTCAGTGGCACACTGGCATAAACTCCGAATATGTCGTTATTTTTAATAATTCATAAGTAATTATAAATGGAAAGACTCTTGAATAAAAAGTTTAAAAATCTGTTCTCTCTAATTTTGGAGGAAACTACATCAAACAAATGCTTTAGATGCTTTATTTAAAATTATAGAAACGTATAAAAACATTTATGAAATATAACAGGATGTAAAAGGCAAGAACTCAAATACCATTTGAGGTAGAATGACTGTTTTAACTTCGTGACATGATTCCAAAGACACCGGGGAGTTCAAAGCATACGAAAGTAATGTTTAAATACAGAAAATGTCCTTTTGCTAACATTATATGAAAGAAAAGTTTTAATTCCTCTTAATGATGAATGAGGAGCTATGTACACTGAGAAAGAACATTTCAGCTCTTTTGAATAGTTCCTCCTGCTCCAACACAGAGCTTAGAACTGAAAAACAGAATTCTAGAATACTATGTCAACAGATAAAGAAATAACTCCCCCTTTTATTTTGTATTGAAGATATATCCAAAAGCCAAACATTCAAATAAAGGTTGCAAAACCTTTTGCTGAAACTTTCTGAGGTAGGTTTGTCTCACAAATCCAGTTAAAGGTGAACTTCGGGTATTAACTATCGAACTATCTAGCTAACTAACTAACTGGATCTGAACCCGTCTTCGTAAGTCGTTAGTATTCAGTCAATCAAGAATTCTCCAAAATTGTTATGGAACCCAGCGGTTCATTACCTGGTTTACAAGAGCCCTCCACTGGTCCCTATCCCCAGGCATATCAATCCAGTCCATACCACCTCATACTGTCTCTCCTATATGTACTTTAATATTATCCACCCACCTACGCTTTGGTCTTCCTAGTAGTCCCTTTCCTTCTGGCTTTCTCACCAGTATCCTATATGCATTCCTCTTCTCCCCCATTCGTTTTACATGCCCTGCCCACCTCATCCTCATTCACTTCATCATTCTAATTACACTTGGAAGCTGTGAAGCTCCTCATTATGCAGTTTTCTCCAACCTCCTGTCACTTCATCTCTCTTCGGTCCAAATGTTCTCATTCATATACTAGTGTAGAAAGTAAAGGGATAAGATGAAGTTAATATTTCCCCACGAATCTGGATGATTCATAAATAAGGAATCAAAGAGCGTTTTGCGAAATTTTGTGCATGAACAGAATATAAATAGAATTTCTTCGAGTAACCGACGAAAAATGATGAAGCGAGGGGAACAGTGTAAACATGTAAACTGCATTCAGCAGTGTAATGAGAAGACTGGAAGCACTGAACTTAATGAAATTTCGGGTCATATAAAAGCAGGTATTTTCTTCACCGGCTGAATAACCGTCTGCCATGCGGATATTTAATACACTAAAACTGTTGCTTTGGGAAGGTCACAGTGACTTTGCCTCTACATGCCTTTGCCGACCCTCTCTCACGGCAAGCGACTCTCCGTGTTTCACCAATCACGTGCTTTCTTCGCTTGAAAATTTACGCCTTTGTAAAAGTAATGTAACTTTCTCCCCTTGTGCTTAATTAAGAACGATGCTATGAAGACATAGGGGGGAATGACTTTGAAGTGTGACAAGTGAGCCGTTTCTAGGAGACGAATCGGCAAATACGTTGCCACTGAGAGACTGCGGAATACGGTTACCTTGGATACGAAAACTGATAGTTTTAAACACTTAGAAACCAGACTGTCGGTTCGGAATTGAGACAAGATTGAGAGACAGCGCATTCATGAAGGCGGTAAGGAAGCCCTTGATGCGGTGATCTCTATGAGGTCCGCTTGGCAATTATAAAAGGGAGTTCATTCGTATATTCAGTGCAGTAAGGGATTCTTCTTAGAGCATCTCTCAAACACGTCGTCCAGAAGAAGTTCAATGTGTGGGCTGTTATAGTTGACTGGAAATGTAAAGATGTGCTGATAAAAACAATCATCAACGCCAGAACTCATTATTGTTAATCACGCCCAACCCGAATACGTGAAACTTAATTTCGGGTGTAGCTGAACGTGGTTCATCTGCTTCACGCTTCGGCCGATATTCCTCAGGATACACTGGTCAAGGTATTCCCTTGTACAAGAGCTGATAACCCCCCGCGCCGACCCATTATTTTCGTAGTTTCTCGGCTTAAGTAGTAATGCTAAGTAATTAGGTTATTTTTTAGCTCATTACTGTTAATACTAAAGCTCTTGGTTGAACTTCATTGAGCTAATTGAAGAGGTATTAAAAATGCTGTTTTTAGCATGAAACATTGTTAATTCTACGTCCAACACAAAAGTCAGATGACCTCCCACCATAGACTGTTCGCGACTAGTTTATGAATACATTCGCACATACCCTCAACATACACGTAGATTGACCGATCTTCAACACGTAAGTTTTCATTGATAATTTTTTTTAATATGAAATATTTGTAATAGCTGCACTGTATATAATACAATAATCCAGTTTCGTTTGTGATGATATAACTGTACAAAAGCCCATTGTGGTGTAATTTTAGAACCCTATAGTACATAGATATTTTGAAATAGTTAACGCTTTTTTTCATAGCAACACTTTCCTTAGTCGAACCTTTTATAATCTCTGGCATTTCTACTCCGAGGGTATGTTACATGTAATCTAAACTCTTTATCATTTTCAGCTTGATTTGTTTTGGTATATTAGTGTTGTAGAAACATCGTCCTATTAGAATATGACCATAACATATCAAGTTCTCGTCCCAGATTACTGATCAAGCCAATATTTTGGCTAACGTAGGCAGGCTATTCCTGCAATTCTGGGATGTTTGTGTGTGTGTGTGTGTATGAAAGAAAGAAACAGATATGTACAGGAAATTTTCAGAAATAATTCGCTCTATCCAACTGTTACTTGACGGTAATTGGACAGATTTGCATAGGAAAACCTGACATTTATTTGTTGACAGAGAGGGTAACTTAATGATCAGATGAAAAGAACTTCTCGATGAGAATTCTATGTGTGTATCTCCGATTCATAAAGGAGTGAACAGCCTGAAGTATGAGCATTCTCATTAGTCTGTCCACCTCACGCAGTAATTCATTCTCAGCTGATATCTCGGCGTGACAGATCTTCACATGCCTGGCGAAATAATTGTTCAGTTAATCATAAAGATTTGGATAATTTCAGAGGAAAGCATCTGGCTCATTTTTGGATTTTGACATATGTTTTGAACCTTTGGGTTTATAAACATTTTGTGCAGGATAGCGATTATGATATCGAAACAATGATCAGTTAGACCATACCTGCAAACTGCGCAAGAATATACCAATCTAACCTGCTATTACAGAAACCAAAAGCCAGTCATCTTCACGAAGCACAGTTCTTCATATGCTGCTAGTTCGTCAGCTACTCAAATTCCCAGCATGATATGGCAACCCGAAGGTTTATTACCTCGTTTAGAAGAACCTGCAGCTGAAACCCATTTTTTCTCCTAAAGAAATCCAGTCCAGGTCGTCCCATTTTATTTCTTTAAGAAATTTTCCGATGTTATCCTCAAATCTGTAGCGAAATTTTCGGAGTCTTCGAACACACCCTGTACGAATTTCTTCTCTCTTCCGTGCATGCTACATACCGCGTTCATATAGTATATCCTCGATTTGCTAACCCTAATAATATTTGGTGAACAGTACAAATTATGCAGATCTTCGTTATGTACATCGTTATTCCATCCTCATGTTACTCCTTTAGTCTTAAAAAATAGTAAAGCTATCCCTGTAACAGGCGATGGAGGCCCATAGGGTTGTGAGACGTCTAGGCTCCCACATTATATAGACAGTCGGCTCAAAGATGGCGGTAAGGTTGTCAGCCTTACGCGCCAGCCGCGCTTTACTCCCCAAGAAAATTTATTAATTTCTGGTATTTATTTCTGTTGCCGGTCACGGTAGCCGAGCGGTCTAAGGCATGTACTGTCTTCGCTCGCTTGGAAACCGGGATCGTGGGTTCGAATCCCACTCAGGGCATGGAT